ACGAATGGTTAGTCCCGCTATCGCTACAAGACCAGAGCACGGTACCGCGGATGAAGGTGAGAGGCACTGAGACAGGGTGGGGGGCGGAAAGGAAGGTAGGGGCGGGGTTAGATCTAAGGTCGCCATAAAATCGGTTTAAAGGATCAAAGAACGATGGAATGCAAGGGAATAGGGAGAATGGTGAGAGGGGGAAAACAGACAAGGGCGCTGCACGAAGGGTTTTGCAAAATAGAAAGGGAGAAGACAAAACCACCTGACAAGGACGATTGGTGTTCTAGTTTCTTATCCACCTGTAAGAGGGGAAGAATATGGCTGGTATCGGTGGTTGGTGCATCCTCTACAGTCTGTAAAAACATTCATCAGCATTTTCTTACGACAGGACGTTTATTAGGAGTACAAGCTCAATGTGTCCATCAAGGGAAGAAATTACTTACATTTGGAACACTAGATACCTCTCGTGATGCGGAATCTGGGGGCGGTGTTGAGAAAGCAAGAGAAGTGATTTGGGAGATTTGGGAAGAAGGAAGAAAAAAGTAGGAGATATAAAGTAAATTTTCAGCGCAACCAGAGAATGGGTTGAGGGTCCATTGGGCGAAAACCAAGACTGCTTCCGACAGAAAAGGTAAAGGGCCACTTGAATGTCTTCTTTTGGCTGGCTTAAGCGTTAGTAAAAGGTTTGAGCCAGAAAGAAAATCTCAAAGGCCAGTATGTCCTCAACGTCTCCCTCCGCCATGCATACGGCCTGATCTCGCTGGTGTTCGACGTGGCCTCACCATCGGAACCCCCACCATTTCTCGACTGCAAGGAAGATAGAGTACAAGGTTTTCTGTGCCGAGAATCCCTAGCCACATTTCCCTCATTATCTCACACGGTGTCCAAGGACAGTGAGCCCGGACTATGCGCACCCCTTCAGCATTTCTTACTTTATAGAACTGCCTGCGGAAGGTGCGCTAATTGAGGACAATTCTCACTTGCCCGCTCCACGATCGGTCTCTGTGTACTGATATCCAACCCCTAACCCGATACAATCTCAATCAGGATGCGGGGTAGGCCAAATGTTGACACGCCCGGCGGAGGTCAAAACCAGCGAAAGTATCTCTTCAGTGATCGAAAGGGAAGACGCTAACGAGGCAACATGTTTTCCGGTATTTAGGCACTTTGATTTATCAGTCATTGTTACAACCCTTTCCTTTCCCAATCCTTCCACTAACTCGTGGATATCTTAAGGGGTGGAGACCTTCTGCGAATTAACCGAGCTGCTTACTCTCCGCAGTGATCATCGCGAGATATTGAAACTGTTGGAGAGAGATTTTTCCCATTTTCGCAAATCACATCGTTATGTCTCAGCTAGTCGCTTCTCTTCCATCTCCATGAGAACCCGCCACCTGCGGGAATCCGATAGCGCCGGATAGCCGGGAATAAGCAGGATTTGGGAGATTAAGACCTCGTTCAAGAGATTCTCTGGTAACAAACAATGGCAAGAGGTTGCGCTACGATCTACCACGGAGGTCCCTCCGAAGACTTGCTTCCCCGCACATCTATCAATGCACGAGCCTCTCATCATTTTCATGTCTGGGCGGGATTTCATCTTCTCTGGCTCCCTGATATTTGTAAAACCCTAGCGGTACGGGCCCAGAGGTATTGTTCTCGGGAGAAGGGTTCGAATCTTGGTTGGATAAGGCGAACCTCACCCTCAGACTTGGGCTTGTCCCTTGTGCAATGCATGGGGCGTTCTTGCGAGAGACAGATTGGTGGTAAAGCCCTACGACAAGAGCTACGAGACCATGCTATGATACTACTCGCAGTCATACACTCCCTGACGGGGATCTATATACTCACCCCCACCCCCCTCTCCTCCGTGGTACACGAAGCGCGGCGGTGTGTGGTACCGGAAAGGAATCATGGGATATCACTCGTCATGAACATCACCGCCGTTAATCGAATTTTGTCGTCATAAGGACAGGTAACGAGGTTTCGGGGCCGGGGGTGCTCTAAAGAGGGAGTGAAGCCTGATTCTCTATGCACGCGTCGCTCGGGGGTCATTTTAGAATGAACACGCCATTCAGCCTATTCCATTTATACTTTCACGAGGACTTTCCCAACGTCAGAGATTTGTTCTGTAGTTTATTCAGAGGAGAAGAAAGCTAGGCTGTCAAAGTAGTAGAGTCGATTCCGAGGTTTTATATTTGGCTCCGCTTGGTATGAGAAGAGTAGCAAAAATAAGTCAACAAGCTCGATCCATGTCCCTAGCGTGGTATCACAGAACAGGGAAAACGGGCAGATAGGAGAGTCCCGGGGAACAACTTTGGCCAATTTTGCAAGCCACCTTCAGCACCGTAAAAGACAGGCCGTGCTTTGTTAGGATGTTTTCTTTACCACCAGAAAATGATACAATTCTGTAGCCAATAGACATGGAACAGATGTTATTGTCACCACTCAACGAAGCTTCTTATTATCGGGCACATATCGTTTTTCTACACACCTTGAAATGAGAACAACCGAGTGATATCCCATGCCCTAGACTCTCGGATCATACATGTACTCATGGGAAACCATAGCATCGCTGACGTGGCAGTAGGGCCATGCGCAGGAATGTAGTCGGTATATTGGTACTTATTGGCCAGGAATATACTGGATTTCTTAGTTTGTTAGTTGGTAAATCACGAGGGGAGCGCCGGGCCACGGGACGGATGTGCTAAGTGGGGGCATTCGTCACCAACGAAATGAGAGCCAACCTCTATCATACATCAAATGTTCCAGCTCATCAATAGGCACAGGTAGCTCACGTCTGCCAAACGAATCTGTGTATTGTACTGTAAATGAGGTTTATTCGGGTTAAACCGAAGCAAGGTAACTGTGCCCCTGCGCGAGACATTGAAGTTGTACTGGAGAACGCACCGACCCTTCGTTGGTAGCTACAGAACTTCGGTCCCCGGACGGAAGGAGCGGTAGGACGTTATAAGTATATCTGATCATCCAATCTCGGTTCTTCAATACATAGATGAGAAAATGAGAAATGAGACAAGAATATTGCCCTCCAACCAAAGTTACGGACGAGATGAGATACACTGGACCCCGCAGACGTAAGTAATGTCACAGCAGACCGAAATTAGGGTTACACATACATTTGGGTAGCAGGCTACCCACGTGATTTCATGTGCAGTTACAGATTTAGGCGGCTTAGCTTGCAAGATGGTCTTTAAGAACTATGAAGTGGCTTTGTTTGACTATGAAAGAACTAAGTGCTGTCATAAAGACTATTGGCCTCATTGCAGTCTTCTCCTTTTGTAGATGTATTTGTGTTATTGAATCAATCGATTAATTGATATTTATCAAGCTATTCTAAGAGATGTTTGTGCAGCCAACTACATACAAGCCTTTTAGGACCTACACCGCAATTGCAAGGTCGATCCTCGAGGATCTGAATGCTTGTATTGTGGAATAAGCTCAAAAGCGGGCCTATAGGGCTATTTAACTATCGGTATGGATATTTGCTACTCATAGACACTTGAGCTCATGGGATAAGCTTAAGCTTGGCGGCAGTGAAATGGCGTCTCAAAGGTCGGAATGCCGAGATCCTGAGCTACTGTACGCACCTACGTCGTAAATCACACTTTCGAGGAATCCAAGTTTAAAAATCGGTCACCTGTCGTGGTGAGGTTCCGCCAGCCTACGCATTCTGTAGAGACTGCTACTTCAAGGCCTTGCTTTCAAATTATCCAAGGATAACCTTTATTTAAGATCCCCCGACCTCCCGATGCACTTTAGGAGAACACTAAATAACCAGACGGCCGTGGATCGTTATTAAGAGCCCTCTTACCACGTACGTGCGCACGCGAGCGATCGATATTTGGAGGCGCGATTGAAAATATATCCTTATAATGCCGGGGATCTTTTTCGGCGAGTCTTCTATTAATTCTAAAGAAATATGACGAGCTTTGGGATTAAACTTGAATATATGAATATAATGGGAAGTCAAGCTGATCTAGCTAGGGAGTTGATAGAAAGTTGATAGTATTTTATCTATGCCCCGCATTGCCTCACACGATGGTCGGGCCTACAGTGCGAATCGCATGAGGCACTTTGGACTAAAAAGAAAAAGAACAGGGAAAGTGATTCTAATAGAAGCAGGAAAATTTCGATATTACCCAAGACTGCCACGGGGGCTGTCGGTTAGCTCCCTCTAGCAAAAGCAGAGCACGTATTTGCCATTTCATCCTTTGGGTGTCTGCTAATCCTGGGGTCTGTCTACGTAACCGCATTCCAGACGGCCTTTCCCCGGGTAAGAAGGTATGCAAGCATAAAGCAGACAAGCATTGTCTGATCTCTACAAAAAACCAAAACGGGTAGAGTCTCCACAACTGGAAAGAAATGGACAAGAGGCAAACCAAAATTGCTCGTGATATAGGCATTCCCACCTTATTTACCCATGGAGTAGAGTACCGATAGACCGCGTACTGCCTTTCTCGTAAGAGCCAGCCAACAGGCGGTCGTCATTCCGTATATGGACTAACTTAGACAATAAGAACTATGCCTAAAAACGATATCACTAAGTGCTTTTCTGTATTTTGGCTTAAAGCTCCAAGAGCTAGCTTGCTACTTAATGTTATCTCACACCCGCTTCTCAATAGCTATAGAACCTGTAGCCCCTATAGATACTCCCATATATCCACGGTGTTTCAATATCCTTATATCCTCAATTCTTTGGTTTAAGGCAACATCATGACCGACCTTTCACTCCCGAAGGACTTCTTCTGGGATTTGCTACTGCAAGTATGATAAATTTCTCCATGGTTGAATTCTTTCATTCGTATCTCTATCTCCGATGTTCCCTCATAACTAGCTCACTCGAAACGTTTGATTTTATTTTTATTTCTTTGAAACGCATCTAACATGTATCATTACCAATCGAGGGAGCTGCCAAAGAAGATGGCCGTGGCCCCTCTATATGGGACACCTTCTCACAATATCCCAGGAAAGACAGCCGAATGGGCACCGCGATGTCGCTTGCGACGCTACCATCGCACAACGAGGATGTTGCACTACTCATCCTCTGCGCCAATGCCTACCGCTTCTATCTCTGGTCGCGTGTGATTCCTCTTGGTCGCGATGATCCAGTCAATGAAGCGGGTATTGCATTCTATAAGAACTATGTTGACACTGTAGAAGCGGGCATACCCCTTTCCGTGAACTGTTCATTGGGATCTCCACAGTGCATGACCGCTATCGGCATGTAAGATAAGGTGGAGTTTGAAAGGATTTTGAGAGATATGAAGGCTCATGTTTGAGCGCTGCCGAGGTGAAGCACTGGATCACACTCAACGAGCCATGGTGTTTCAGTGTGTTGGGGTTACAATACGGGATTGTTTGCTCCAGGAAGATGTAGTGACATCCAAGAGCGATGTTGGCGATTCGTCAAGAGAGCATTTGATTGTCGCCCACACTTGCTGCTTGGCGCACGGGCGCGCGGTGAAGGCCTATGCGAAGACTTCAAGCCTAAAGATAGGAATTATCGGTGTCACCTTAATGGTTCGTTATCTCTTTCTACGCTTTGAGCCCCCATTGAAGGCGATAGGCGACTGGACCGAGCCATGGGACCTGCCGATCCCTCGATGTCGAAGCAGCTGAGCGCAAGCTTGAGTTCGCAATCTCTTGGTTCGCTGATCCGATTTACTTCGTTAAATATCCCGACAGCATGCGGAAGCAGCTCGGTGACCGACTTCCCGGTTCACCCGAGAAGTTTGCGCTCGTAAAGGGCTCCAACGACTTTTACGGGATGAACCACTAACACCGCCAACTACATTAAGCACGTAGATACACTGCAGCGGAGGATGACCACCTAAGGAAAATCTCGAGTGCCATTTCTATAACAAGCTGGTGACTGTATCGGCCCAGAGACACAGAGTGTGTGGTTGAGGCCCCATCCAGAGGGTTTCAGGAAACTACTCATATGGTTGAGCAGCGCTATGGAACACCGACTATATATGTTACGGAGAACGGAACAAGCTTGAAGGGCGAGAATGACCTCCCATTGGAAAGATGGTCAATGATGACTTTAGGGCCGAGTACTTTAGAGGATATATCACAGCAATGGCAAGAGCGAGGGCGGAGAGTGGCGTGGATGTGAGAGGCTATCAGCCTGGTCGCTACTTGAGTATGCCTCTCTGCTATATTCCGATCAACTATATGTTACAAAGCTAACGGTTTTTTCTTTCTATAGTAACTTTGAATGGGCAGAGGGTTATGAGACAAGGTTTGGGAGTCCAGGGACTACAAAGGGCGACAGAAGAGGTACCCCAAAGAAGAGTTTAAGGTGATTGGGGAGGTGTTTAACCAATGATCAAGAAGGATTAAGAGCGGTGGAAATTGTCGCCCCTCTTCTGTTTCTCTTGTAAGATTACGCCGCACTTTAGCTAGCTAGTCAAAAACAAAATACCATTGATTGCAAGAACAAACAAACCTATACCGTGTTTTTCCGGTGCTTGAAATTCTGTAACTTGATGGACGGCAGATTTACAGAGTCTTCTTACCCATTTCAATGACTACATGTATATGTGTATCTCCTTGGAACGAGTATTGCGTATAAGATACGTGACTATCAGTTATACTACAACTATGGCCAACTTATGGCGAAGAATAGGTGGTGTGACAGCCTGTCCTCAATTATGTCGTATAAAGCTAGAAACTCAAGTAGTCCTAATAATATCATCATCATTTCTCTCATCCAATAGTTTGGTTTTGCTACAGCCATTGGAAACGTAGTACTGGGCCTTAATACAGTATTCAGAGTTGAACTACACATCGTAAGTACTGTCTGAATGCGCTTTGATAATCTATCAACGGAACATCACTAATTCGCCAATTGATCCACTCTCAACCACAGATTCTCTCTCCAAATTTGACAATCAGGTTATTCGCAATCATACATACCATTCCCTCACGGAAAGTCCAATACCGGAGAACACCGTACCCGGTGATAATACCTGGTATACAGCCAAAACACCATATACCAAGTACTCTAGACGTCCTGGATCATCCGGTTTATATATTTCCCCTCTCTTCTCTACTCTTCTCTACTTTGTTTTGTTTCCGTGTTTATATTACCAGTATTCTTCCGTCCCGTGCCTGCATTGCATAACGCGGGTCCAAAAAAAAAAAAACTATCTCTACATCTCAAGAAGCATCTCTCATTATCCCATTATCCAGAACACCGGTTAGCATAATATAATTAGTTATCTATAGTAGCACACATATGTGAGGACGTCTCTCCACCCTATGAAAAGACCCCGCCCACAAAACCAAAAAAAAAGAAAAGAAAAGGGCAAACTAAAGGGTAAAAGAAGGCAGCCAGTAGAAAAAAGAAAAGAAGTCGCACATACGCGTTCCACATGACCGGTAGAACCTACTCTAATCAACTAGGTAGTTGGGTAGGTAACTACTCGCGACCAGCAACAAGAACCCGAAAATGCACGTCCTAATCTGCAATTTCCATTGGAGTAGAAGTCAAAAATACACCAAAGAATTGCAGCTGCATATTCGGGTTCTTGTTGCTGGTCGCGAGTACAACCTAAGGGTAGGATGGGATGATTACTAGCTTAAAGGGATGATTTTATGATTTGATGAGATGATGATATGCGCGTCATGAGAAATCACCATCCAGCTGGGGTGGCCAATCGGAAAAAAAAAAAGAGGACAATATGTACTCTGGGCCAGGGAAGGTATTAATTTGCAGATAGTCAGGGACGATTACGAAAAGGCCTTTTTCTTTTTTCTTTTTTTCTTTTTTCTTTTTTCTTTTGGTAAGTAATTCAATTCAGCCTTGGTTACTAGCTCAGTTGTGATAGGTACATGTAGTTACTGACACGTACAAGTAGGGCTTAGTTAGTAACTAGAGCACTCCACATCATCGTGAACTGCGCTGTTGCTGATCCCATCCATCTGGATCATGAGAAATCACTTCATACACTAACCAAGCTGCTAGCTAGCTGCGGGGCGCCGCGCCGTGCTGCCGGATTATGCAGGGGTTGTCGGATGAGATGGTGGTTAACGTTCCCTTTGAGCCTCAATTGTTGGTGTATGTATGTCTAGTCTGCCAAGGTGAGGGGAAACGGATCCAGCGACGCGCAGATGGATGCTCAGTGTAGGGTGTAGAGTAGTTTGGAGCACAGGGACAAGGCAGAAGAGGTACTGTAGGTACAGATGGATTAGGTACTGTGTGCAGCAGGAGCTTCTTCGGAGTTGTCTCTCGCTCGGCGGCGGCCCGTCTATTTGTACATATTGGGGTCAGAGCCGAATCCCGAGAGTTAGACAAAACACGTGAGGCTTCCCCAGCCTGTGATTCGGCCGCTTCCGAACACCACCACCGCCCACCCCCTCGTTGCTCCGATGCCGAAACAACAACAGACTGCTAGATACACACACACATGCCTACAACAAGACAATGATGCCGAATTGAATTGAATTGAACTGGACCATGTACTGAATTGAATTGAGTCTCCGTATCCCGCCCCCTAGATGCCTAACCTGTACGTTACCTAGCTATTACCTACATGTACTTTGATTCACCCACTAGGCCTGCTACTAGCTATGTAGCTAGCTAGCAGTCCTTCACCGCACACCGCACACCGCCAGCCAAGTAACCAGCTAGCTGTCCCTTTGTGTGTGCACTGTTCACCCGGTACGGTAGTTGTGGTAGACAGCACCAGCACCAGCACCAGCACCACNCGGTTGCATAGACTCTCATCCAGTGCTGATTCATTACATCCCCATACGACTGATTGTATTTCAGCCAAACCAACCATAGGAATGACACAACTCGCTAAGGAACCAGACCACACACACTCAAAGTACTGGTGATGAAAGGAATCCATCCCATGCACCGTAGAGTAGTGGCGGTTCGTAAACCGATGATAGGACGCTACATAGCTTTCAGTACTAAAGTAGCAAAAGAACAGGTTACCCGCTACCTAGATAGATGCGACCCTAGGGAAGTATAGATCTTTGGACTAACCAAAATAATTATGGCCTGGAGAATATAAAAGCTTTCATGTAGTATCTAAAGATCGCACCTCCGGGATGTTATCCACATAAATCAAAGACCCGCATGTAACAAGATGTGCCCAAAAGAACCGTTCTTGGCCGAAACATTGGATGGGACCTATTTTTTAAAAAAGATAATGGGTGTTCAGTTTGATCGTGGAATTACTAAGCGGGATTCGAACCCGGTATCCGCTGTCGTCATAAGTTTCCTAAACCGGAGGCATATACCACTATGCTAACCGAAGCTGAAGGACTGCCTGCTGCGGAGGATGGTAAACACACACACAGACGCAACACCCGGGGATGTGGAGGGACTATAGTCAAGGATGGTGGGCGTCGATGGTTGTGTCAGAGGGCCTGTAATATCGCCCCGAATACTCGCCCGGTCGTGATATGGACGTAATTAAGGGTGCCCAAGATACTTCGGGTTCCCACAATCGGTGCCGGAGAAGCGGGTGATAGAGGTGTCAACAACGTAGTGTATACTTATACATGGATTGAGCTGGCGACGTCGCGTGGGCACCTCGGCGCGCTCAAGGTCAACATGAGGACAAAAGGATCTAAAGTTGGAAGTGCCAACTTGCTCGGCGGGATTTTCTCTCATCACCAGTTAGTTCAAGACCACTCCGTATCCTTCGTATTTCTAAGATGTTCTTCACCAATCTTTTGTGAGTTAGGGTTGACCGGGAAGGAGAAACTCGAGAAAAGAGACACATCACCACAAGCGATTCATTCGACACCCTTCCTCGTATAGATGGGCGTTTTTACACTTTGAATTAATGTTTTTAACTACCATGTACATCTCAACGTTCATTCTTCGCTAGGAATTCACAGTATAATACCACCTGAGTCGTCTATGACTATTTTTTCACCTTTGCGGAATTAAAAATAAAGAACCTTCTCTGCTCAACGTTGTAAGTGTGTGAGAACGGTATTGAAACCATATATACCCGGAACATGTAACGCAATTCTAGCAAGAGCGGAGAGCTAAATAACAGCCTACCACCACCTAAGAACTTTCAATATCCTGACAGCTCACGCTCATCCCACACCGGAAAGGACTAATAGGACAGGGGCACATACCCAAGACCCCACCCCTCGTTGGTAGATATGCTGGGCTAGGAGGAACAATCAGCACAAAACAAGTAATCCCCCAGAATGTACAGCCTACCACTCATCTTGTGAATCCTTTCAATATCACTCAGCTCACGCTCAGCATATACCGAAGAAGATCTAGAAGACCAGGGCACGCCCCCAGGCCTAACACCTCAAGGTTGTTATACAGTGCGCGAGAACTGTAACCCATAAAAGACTTTTCTCCATGCATCCCCCAGACTGTTTCACCTGGTAGATGAAAATCGGCCAGATGATACAGCCTACCGCTCATCTTGTTACTCTTTCGGGGCTATCACTTAGCTCACGCTCAGCAGACGTAAGTCGAGGAATAAAAAGACCAGGGCACGCCCCCAAGACAAAGCCTACATGATCTCTACACACAATGACAGAATGAACTGGGGCCCACAAAGTATCTCCTCCAATGACCGATGCATGGTACTTCAACTTCGCAGCAGCACATGGACAGAAAACAAGGCCTACCGCTCATCTTGTTAGTTATTTTAAAGGTACAACTGAGCTCATGCCCGGAAACCATAGTAAAACAACTCAGAAGACGAGCGCACGCCCCCAAGCCCAACCCCACATGATTGATATTCCTAAACCCAAGTCCACAGTTTCTGGTCTTTCATGTGA